GGTTAAAGCTTCTCGTGAAGATTTGCTGCTTTTTTCTCTGTATCTGTCAAATACAATTTCAAGACATCCCTTTGGGATCTGGGGAAATAGTAATTGGCATTTCTTCCTGACATTTATAGACTGACAAAATATTCTTAGAAATTAGATAAGGAAATTTTTATTTGTAGCTATGCAGCTATGACTAAATTATGGAAGGCTCTAATGCTTAAAAACTCAGAGACATGTTAGGTCAGTCCCACTGTACTTGCTGAGCCCAAGCTTTTTGGTTTTGAACTCTATGATATTGTTGTTACTCTGATTTTATCCACACCCTGTAGGTTGACATAGATACAATTGTTAATTACAGCCTCAATAAACCTCATTATTTACCTTATTAGCAGCAGCAGACTAGGTGTAATTACTCATGATAATATGATTTGGAGGGCCACATCATCACTTGCTTTTGAACATAAGCCTACATCAGAGCTTTCATCAGAGAACACTTGACCTTTTGCATTCTGTGAGTGGTTGTACTATAGTTTAGTGTTTATTCTTCACAGTTATGTTTTGTGTGTGTGTGTGTGTGTGTGTGTGTGTGTGTGTGTGTGTATATATATGAATGTCTGTAATATTTCAACCTTGAACCCTTCAGGCCTTCGTGGAGCTCCAGGATACTCTCTAGAACAGGCTCATCACCTACCCATTGAGATGGACCCTCTCATAGGTCAGTGCACAGAAATCACCACAGCAGATTTCATCGGCTTTTTGTTTTCAGCACTTAAAATAATACTGATATTATTATATTGCTGGTTCCAAAATCTAGGACGGGGGTGCTGGGGGTTGACTGCCTTGTTGTTGACACATATATCACTGACTTTTGAGTGATGATTGATTAGGAAAGGTTGAAGTTGATTAGCTGTCCCCAGTTGAGGTCAACAGCTGCCCACCCCCACTGTAAACAGTTTTGGCAGGGCACTGCTTCCCCCTCCTGAGGCGCCGGACGGTTTGCCAGAATCTCTTCGAGGCCGACCGATAGTCCATCTCCATGGCCTCACCGAACTCTTCCCGACTCTCACCTATGGTCATGAACTTTGGGTCATGACCGAAAGGGCAAGATCCCGGATACAGGCGGCCGAAATGAGCTTTCTCCGCAGGGCGGCCAGGCGCACCCTT